GAAATTCATCTAGGTTTCCTTCATTATATTCCAAGTGCCACTCAAATGAATCCAACCGTCAGCCGATTCAATTCAGACGCCAGCGAATTTAATTCTGACAACATCGTGACTTCCAAGCTACCCTGAATTTTTGGGAACACGTGGAGTAAATAGCTTCGGAGTGAATTTAAGAGGAAATATTATCAAGATGCGTAGAGTAAACAATGAATGAGTCACTAGTGACACAATGTGATTCGCGCGACTTCATCACGCCTATCAACACCGTAAATACTATTCACACAATCGACAGGCATATCAAAAGAAACGTGGTACACACAGTAATAACTTGATACCTATTGCCTAGGTCAATGATTTGATCACTTGTGATTCAGGTGACGTCATCACGCCTAATACTAACGCAAGCACTCTCTAAAGTGCCTTCATGCATATCAAACGAAGCGTCTTTGAGAGAATAATTACCTGAATCCTGTCACTCTGCCTCGTGATGTGATTTCTAGTGACTCGCGTGACGTAATCACCCCCAGCACCCACGCTAGCATTCTCTAACCGGCCTTCATGCATATCAAATGAAACGTCTTTGAGAAGGTAATAACTTGAACGCTGTTACACAGCCTAGTGACTTGAGTTTGAGTATGAGTTTAGTTTTTTTACCACGTACAGTTTTAGGGTAAGTGGCCGGGACAGAGGAAAAAAGCTGTATAAAACAGCTTGACAAAGCCCCATAACGCCATGGCAACTGTGGCAACAAAAACGGCAAAATCAAATTAAACACAGGACAGTTTAAACCAGCAATGCATATGCTTTGCATCAGAACAAAAAAATTAAACAAACTATACTAACCAAAAACGCATTGCTATACATTAAAAAAAAGAGTATTCAAACAGAAAATAACACTACACACAAATTAATAAAGCATATTTAAATAAAAATACTAGAGAGCATATAAAAATATTTTCATAATTAATTCCTAATCTATTTAGTACACTCGGAAAGCAATAACTCAAAGTCTGAAAGCCATAATTTGTGCGCGGTCTCGGGACATGCCCATATTCAGAGTGTCGGTTTAGGCGCATTGAAGGATTTGATTGCAGTTAGCTAAACTACGTATATAGCCGCGACCTTTTATGGCATATGATCTACAGGCCGCTGTGATAGCTCAGTGGTTAGAGCATCAGACGCGTTATTCACATCTTAAAGAGACTGCTGAAGAATATTCGGAGAGCAGGTTTAATTTGATTATTTTGTATTAAGCGAATAATTGTGAAGTATGGGCATTAAAAGGGAGGTTAGCAACACATTGTAGCGCCTTTTTTGTAAGATAAGATTACTAATTTTGAGGAACTGGCAAATGACTTGGTCCCTAGTGACTCGCGTTATGCAATCTATCCTAACACCGACACAAGCACGCCCCGCCGCGGTGATTTAGTGGCTAAGGTACTCGGCTGCTGACCCGCAGGTTGCGGGTTCGAATCCAGGCTGCGGCGGGTGCATTTCTGATGGAGGCGGAAATGGTGTAGGCCCGTGTGCTCAGATTTGGGCGCACGTTAAAGAACCCCAGGTGGTCGAAATTTCTGGAGCCCTCCACTACGGCGTCTCTCATAATCATATGGTGGTTTTGGGACGTTGAACCCCACATATCAATCATCACCGATACAAACACTCTTTAACCCGCCTTATTACGCATCAAACAAAACGACTTTCATAGGGTAAAAGCTCGAACGCCGTCACTCGGCCTAGTGACCTGATCACTAGTATCTCACGTGAAACCCACGCAAGCACTCTGTAACCTGCATTCATGCATATCAAACAAAACGTCTTCGAGAGGGTAACACTTTAAACGCGGCCACTTGGCCTAGTGACATAATCACCAGTGACTCATTTGTCGTTCTCACGCATTTGAGCCATGCACGTGCAGTACAAACCTGTCTACATAGATATCAAAGAAACGCCTTTGAGACAGTAAAAATTTGAACGCTGTCACATCGCCTAGTGGCGTGATCACTAGTGACTCACGTGACGTCATCACGCGCAACACTCACGCAAGCACTCTCTAACGTGCCTTCATGCTTAAAAATTGAAACATATCTGAGAGGGTAATAACTTGAACGCTGTCACTCGGCCTAGTGACGTGAGCACTAGTGACTCACGTGATGTCATCGCTATCATCACTCGTGATGTCATCACTATTCTTTCTTAAGTTCGGTTGGGTGTTTTAACCGGGCATTGTCATCGCTTCGGCGTGGCGATAACATGCCAGGTAAGTGATAAAACTGTATATACATAATCAAGCATAAGACGCACGGTCTGCCTTTTTCAGAACTTTCAACAAAAAGATTTGTCAACCACTTCTTCGGCGCAAATAATATTTAATCTCATTATCATGCGAAACAAATCTGTTGGCAGTCCCCGTACTTGAGATGCACACTATTGCTATTTGCAAGTGTCCAGTTGCTGATGCGCCGTTGAACGATGTGCCTGACTCATGCCTTTTTTTCTACGTTCTACGCCACGCCCTTTATTATAGGTTAGTGTCCTTGGAATAAGCATGCCTGTTTTGTGGTGAACACCTGTCTGTTCGCTGTAGTGCGGCCTGGCTGCCCGCGTTTCCAAGGCATACTTCGAAACATGATCTATCTTGTTGGATTTGAAAATAAAGTGGAATGAAATGAAAATTAGAAATAAAACACGAGAAGCAACAAAAAGCCTCTTGCATCTACCCGGATCACGAGCTGGAGCAAATGCGTCACGAAGTGGTGAAGATATCGGACGAATGTCGCTGTTTGAGTATGGTTTGGAAAGACTTAATTGTTTTTTTACCTTTATTATTCCTTTTCATTGAATGAAGGAGAAGCGTTGCCTTCGACGAGTGTTGGGACGCTGATGCTGGGCTGTGCCCACTATTTGTGGAAGGTACTCTTGCTTCCATTGCATCTACTCGAGTTAAGAAAAGCGTCAAGTCCTGCGAAAGCCACGTAAAGACGCGATTGACTGATTTTGAAACGCGCAATCTGTTACCTACATATACGGGCTGGCCGGTGAACGGCTGTGTAGTCCGAGCAGTGAGCTTTTTACTTGCAGAAGCTGCTTCGACAGCCTTACATAAGTTACTACTCTCTCAATGACGATTCGTTTGACATGCATGAAGGCAGGTTAGACTGTGCTTGCGTGGGTGTCAGGCGTGATTACGTCACGCGAGTCACTAGTCATCCCGTCACTAGGCCGAGTGACAGCGTTTTAGTTATTACTCTCTCGAATACGTTCTTATATGCATGAAGCAGGTTACACATTGCGTGCGTCGATGATAGGCGTGATTACGCCTCCTGAGTCATTAGTGATCAAGTCGCTTGGCCGAATTTTAGGTATCAGGCTACTGGCCTTTCAAAGACGTTTCGTTTGATATGCATGACAGATGGTTAAGACAATGCGTGAGTGGGTGATATGCGTGATGACGTCACCTGCGTCACTAGTGATCAGATCATTGGCCCTGCATTATGCATCAAGTTGTTACTGTGAGGAGGGCGTTTCGTTTGATATGCATGTCGAAGGTGGGAATAGTGCTTACGCGGGTGATAGGCGTGATGAAGCGGAGCGAGTCACATTGTGTCACTAGTGATTCATTCATTGTTTTTTTTCTTAAATTCACTCCAAAGCTATTCACTCCGCGCGGTTCCGAAAATTATGGGTCGCTTTGAAGTCAACATGTCATCAGAAATAAGTTTGCTGGCGTCAGAGTTAAATCGGCTGGCGGTTGGATTAATTTAAGTGGCACTTAGACTAAAAGAAATGGCACCTGGGATAATTTGAGTGGTGGCTGGATTAAATTGGCTCGCACCTATGATAATTTGGCTGGCGCTTGTATTGAATTGAGCGGGAAAACCTATAGTAATCAGCCTTATCACAGCCTAACGAGAATCAGTGAGACGTAAACATTTATTGTAATGTTTCTAATCGCTATGACCACCATGAAGTAATGATTTCCAGATGGCCCGTAGATTTGGCATCGATTATTCAGTTGAATAAATGACTCTTGCCTTCTGCCCATTCGAGGTGGACAAAACTCTGACACAAGGTGTGTATCCTCTCCCCGTTTTGTACGTTCGTTTTGGGTGACGTACTTCTGCTCTACCGACCCTATTGGACATGCAAGTTCGCATCTAAATTCTACCGCACCGCCATGTTGGTGCTGTATGTTGCCTTAAAGAAAAAAATATTGCCGGATGAGCTGTCACTCGTCGCTGAATTCCTTTGCGCTATCAAGGCATTTTGTAAGTTGAGTTGCGTGCACGTTGTCCCACACCTCACCTGAGCAGCGTTAGCCCTAGTTCACACTGGAGCATCCACTCGGCCGGAATTTCCCTGCCGTAGAAACACAGCGTTGTTCGCACTGCACACGCCCCACACCACCGAATATGTCATCTACCAAGGCGCCAACGCGCTGTCACCCGGTTATTATTGTGCCTCGCAAACGCCACTACACTATACGTTGGTCTAGACTTCGATGATTCTCGTACGCCGGAAGCAAAAAGAAGCAGTACCGCTTACTTTGATGGCAAGTAGCTGCCTTGTAATGCATGAAGAGCAGAAAGAAACCACTGACGCCAGCGGCATCGGTGGGTTTGTTTTGCTCTGCAAGACCGCGACAAGCTCGGCCACGCCAACGACAAGCTCGGTCACCTCTTCCACGAAGTAAGAACGTGAAGTAGGCACAAAGTGGGTTAAACTCCCGTTAGTTACAGCATTCAGTTATGTGCACACTGACATCTCAAGTAGGGCTTTGCCGCCACTTTTCAAAATTCCGAAACTTACGATCCTATTGGTCCGCGGGGACCGATTTGGCGGCAGACGCCGCAAAAATCGGTCCAAGAGTGATCGGCTCGAAGAGGGCCCTTTAGGTGGATCTAGCCGCCGCCCAATCAGATTCGGTGCACTTTTGGCGGCCGGAATGCTCAGTGTGAACGCGCCATTAGAAGTAACGCCAATTCCAAGTGCGCTCGACGTACCTTTATGACGCATCCGAGATACTTGAGTTGTTTGATGTCCTCCGCGGTCACAGGTCTTTTCTCGTCAGACCCGAATACGGCGTCGAGCTCCTCGTGGACTTTCGCCTGCACTTCAGGATGGTTGCCAAGCAGGTGAATGGCATAGGATGCCGCCATAGCTGTAGTGTCAAAGCCCTGCGTTAACACTCAACAGATCAAGCAATGCAGTACCTTATTATGCGAAAAGTACAAAGTAATCACCGGTTCACTGAACACGCATCCGCCACATCATTTTCAACCGCAGCACGTCGCTCTCGAGGCACGCTTTACAAATACCGTTTGTCGGAATGAGCGCGTATTCAAAATTGTCAGAGCACTCAGGCGGCTGTTTCAGCTGCCGTTCGTTGCAGAAATATGCCAATAGCGACGCCTTACTGATACCTTACAAAGCCATACTGCACGCTATGTCATTCTGCTATCATTAAATAATGAATGAAAGCTTGCAGCTAACGTAGGGTAGCAGCTTTGGTAAACGATTGCGTCCTCAGCCTTATGATCCGCCGCTTAAGACAAGTGGCAGTGCATGTGTAAAATCACATTTGTCAGCAGAGCTCAGCCTGCTCACAGCACTCGAAAATGAAACTGAAGCGACGACGGTCACCATGTTCATCACTTAAGCAACCTAAAAGAATTAGTTGCAGAAAGAACCTGCTCCATGGTCTAAGCAAAAGCTACATCAAAGCCTGTAAATTATACAGGAATGCGCGACCTCGCAGTGCCACCATAATCTGTCGACCACAGATTTCGCTGTCGGCCTCGCATCCTGCCTTACAGCCGACGACGTGGTAAGACGTTGCCTTTTGCGCCATTTCGATGCTCTGGAGACTAGCTGTTCGCACCATAGTTTTCTAAAATGAACTATAAAGGACTCTGATGCTGCGATAGCTCAGCGACCACGAAAATTATGTGTAAAATGGATTTGCCTGGTCGTCGTATTTGCGGATGATGAATCACACTGGTGGTTTCATTTATTGCTGTAATTAGGTTTTGCTTCGAAGGAAAGAACAAACCATGTTGCACTTCGATACCCAATTTCAATTGATAAATCTAAAATATTAAGGTGGTGAAGCGCAACTGGTGAACATTTGCTGATACTCGTTTCGTGACAAGACAACATCAAGCCACGAGAACCCAAACGGAGCCAGGAGTACGAAAATTAGACAAACCCGCATACTGCCCAACATTCCCATGCTCCTTAAAGCGCCATGCGGCTACCATAAATACCAGAGCCAGGGTTCCCTTCATTGTATATTTAGGAAACTTAATAATGGGCATCGCTTCGCCACGTTTTTCTCGTCCATAAGGACAAGACACCACGTCGTTAAGATATGAGTTCGAGTACGCCGGAATCAACCCGCCGAATTTACTACAAGTACTACAAAATACTCATCTCCGTTTAGTATCTTTGTCTTCATCAATCGTGCTCTGGAGGTACGATGGAAAGCACGGCGCAAGCTGATGAAACTAAATAACGCGCAGACTGCGTGAGCTCGTTTTTATACGAGAAATATTTCTTGGCAAAGTAAACACATCTTGACCATTTTATACGCATAATAACAGCACTTATCTATGACGATAGAGTACCGTGAGGCTGGCCTACGATTGCTTGCATGTACAACAATTTTTCATTGAGGAATGTTTGCTTAGTATCCTGGCGTATACTTTCAATGCAGTTCTTAACAAACTTCTACCACTATAGGCAAGCCTGTCTATCTATCTATCTATCTATCTATCTATCTATCTATCTATCTATCTATCTATCTATCTATCTATCTATCTATCTATCTATCTATCTATCTATCTATCTATCTATCTATCTATCTATCTATCTATCTATCTATCTATCTATCTATCTATCTATCTATCTATCTATCTATCTATCTATCTATCTATCTATCTATCTATCTATCTATCTCTGTCTGTCTGTCTGTCTGTCTGTCTGTCTGTCTGTCTGTCTGTCTGTCTGTCTGTCTGTCGGTCGGTCTGCGTCTGTCTGTATGTCCATTCGTCCGTATGTCAGTGTAGTCTGTTCATCCGTCCGTAGACGCCGAAATATGCGCAAGCCTTTGCACCTTCACTATCCTCTGTTTCTTTGTTAAATGCACCAGCTGTTTCTACTAAGCGTCTAAGCGTCGGAGGTTTGTTTACTCTGTGAATATATATATACTCTAGTAGATCCTCCGTGAGCGGTCACAATGTGGTTTATTTCGACGTTTTGGCCGAGAGTCTGGCCTTCATCAGGATTAAAGATACAGTTTGTTGGTGCTCAGCTTTATACAATCTCAAATCAGAGGCCAAGAAAAGAGAAAAAAAAGACAGAAAAAAAGAAAAAAGGAAAACAGAAAAACAAAAAAAAAGAAGAAAAAAGAGAAGAAGAAAAAAATAATATACGGTGGACTCCCCTCGGGCGCCCCCCTTCTACTCTTCTTCCACTTCCCCCCTCCACTCTTCCTTCCACTTCCCCCTTCATCTCTCTCCCCTTCTCCCCTTCACCTTTATGATGTCAGCGGTCTGTGTATGTTTCCTTTCACTAACACATTCCTCCTGGCCAGACGGCGCTTCCTGGGACTGGCGGTTCGGTGTGGGGCAAAAAAGAGCTTTTTTAGGAAGTTCTAAGCAATTAACTACTCGGAGTCCCGTAAACAATTCGTCGTAGAAGGAGGGGTGCCGCGTATTGTGGCAGAGGCTGGTAAGCGGGCATTTTAGTAAGTTCTAAGCCTTTAACTACTCGGCGCCCTGTCAACATTTGGTCGTAAAAATAGGGGTGCCCCGTATTGCGGTAGAGGCTGGTAAGCGGGCGCAATGCGAATTCCTTGCCCGCTTCTGGATTACGTGTGTAGTGGGGGCCTCCCGACTGTGCACAGGGTTGCTGTTGGGCATGTCATGCATGGCACAATTGATTGGGTAGTAAAATAAAACAGAAAACAGACGACAGCTGCACTTAGGAAGAGTAGTTACACTTGGAATTGTTTTGGGTTGTCCAGTGCCCTTCGCAGCTGCAGTGCCGTGAACTCAGTTACTAGTTTAATTGTTGCCGTTATTGTTTTCTAATGCTTTAATTGCTGCAAGTGTACCAGTATTCTCATTTATTCTTCTATCGAGGGTGTTAAATCGGTGGATAAGGTATGACTCTTGTTGTTCACGTTCTCGATTTGATTTGAGTCCCGTCTCTAAGAGCGTTACTGATAGTTTTTCGAATGCATGGTCGGGAAGATTGAGATGTTTTGATAGAGGTAGACATGGGGCTGATTTCGCATGGGCTCTGTGATTATAGAAGCGAATACTAAATGGTCTTTCTGTTTGTCCGATGTACTGCATACCACACACGTTGTATTCGAGTACGTATACCACATTAGAGGAATTGCATGTTGATGATTAGTGAAGTTTATTGGCGCAAGGGCCAGATGTGGCCAAAGAGCGCCAGAGCGATGATAATGAACTGTGCGATGTGCAGTGTAGATAAAACAGATGTGACGTGGCTGTAAATTGGCCTAAAAACAGTCGCTGTAGGTGCGTAAAAATATATATACATAGTAACATTATGACAATGACAAATGATGGGTGCTATGGAAACATAAAATGGTTTAAAAGTGATATGTGTGTAAAATAAAAACTTGGCATGGAGCACCAGTGCCTCGACAGAGCCCTTAAAACAAGAGCATGGAGGTCTGGGCTCATTAGAAGCTGCTATCACAGCGGCATCCTCTGAACAGAGGATGCGCTATGAACCTGTTGGGCTAAAAACATTCAATGTTGGGCTAAAAACATTCAATACTACATCCTTTAAAAAGCTTTAAACTAATTTTGCATCAAAAAGCGGCTCTTCACCGAGAAACATAATCGGATGTAGAGGAAGATTATAGCGGTATGCTAAAGCAAAATATTTCTTTCTCTCACTTTCTGCTTCAGGACACTCCAGGAAGACGTGGAGGACGGTTAGTCTCTCACCACATCTACCACAAGTAGGAGGTTCATCGCCAGTCAGCAGAAAGCTATGGGTACCATAAGTGTGTCCTATTCTGAGGCGACAGAATAAGTCATCAGTTCGCCGTGTTCTTGTAGCGGAGGGCCAGTAACCCAACCGCGGCTTAATCAAGTGAAGCTTATTACTTATTTCTGTGTCCCACAAGCGTTGCCAGTGGTTTCGCAGTTTCTTACGTAGGATGGGTTTTAGGTCTGTTGCAGGGACAGTAGCGGTGGGGTTAATAGCGTGCAATATAATTGAGGTGGCCATTTGGTCAGCTAATACATTGCCCTCGATGCTTCTATGGCCAGGAACCGAGCAACTAGTAACATGCTGGTTGGACATATACGCTGTACACAGAACGGAATACAGCTCAATTATTACTGGATTTCTGAATCTGAAAAGGGATCTTAATGCATTTACGACGCTTAACGAGTCTGTGAATATAATAGATTTTCGTATGTTTTATTTCCGTATATGCTTCACAGCCGACAATAGTGCATATTCCTCAGCCGTAAATATACTTGTTTCCGGGTGCAGCACACCGGATTCCGAGAAGGATGGTCCAACGGCTGCATAAGCCACCCCTGCATGCGACTTAGAAGCATCAGTATAAAACTCTACGCATGAGTAGTTGGATTGAAGTTATCGGAAACGCATTTTAATATGTGCTTCTGGTGTATGTTTAGTGATCTCGGCAAAGGAAGTGTCACAATGTATGAGCTGCCACTGCCACGGTGGTAAATGTTTTATTGTGGGCATAGGACAAAGTTCTAGCAGCGGAACACCTATTTCCTCACTTAAGCTTCTCACACGCAAAGAGAACGGCTTTCTCGCTGCGGGTCAATTATGGTAGAGGGTGGCAGCGGTCATATCGTTTATAGCTGAATAAAAAGGATGATTTATGTTTGCGCGTACCTTTATAAAATAAGTGAAACTGCTATAGGATCGCTGTAGGTGAAGTGACCACTGATTAGACTCTACATAGAGACTCTGGATCGGACTTGTTCTGAAACCACCGTTTGCCAGTCGGATACCCAGATGGTGAACGGGGTCTAGGATTTTCAAAGCACTTGGCGTTGCGGAATGATAAATTATAGAGGCATAATCAAGGCGCGACCAAACAAGGCTTTTGTACAAGTTCAAGAGACACTTCCGATCACTACCCCAT